CCCACGACAAGGTTCGCCTCAGAACATTGTGGAACTGGTTCCCCTTCAAAGACTCCACATCGTAAAACTAAACCCGGCCCCTCCCGCCGACGAGACGACCCATCCCAAAGTGCTAATAAACCTAATAAACCCACCGTGTGACAGTGCACCAGTGACTCACTAACGCCCGGTGTCGGCCGCCGCGCTATGCCATTATGTCGATCGTAAGTTTTTTACGTTTTCTTTTCGTTTTTTTTGTTAAGTTTAATTTTCGTATCGGTTCAATTATACGGTCACGTGTTTACCCCGGACTTGGATTAGGAATTAATTTATATTATGATTGCATGAGATGACCCGAGTACAGAGAATTTGGCTGTTATTTATTTAATCTGTTTCAAGTAAATAATATCAAATTATGTCGTCTACAATGGGTCACCTCATGTCGAGTTAGGTCGGTCTTATCTGAGCATGAAACCTATTTCTGTTTATTTGTTAGTAATTAACATTGTGATGGCTTTAATGTATGGATGTTAATAATACACATGAATATCATTGTCATATTATATCATCTAACAAACGACGACTCCGAGCTTGAAATAAACCTGATTTAAAAAAAAAATCGCATGTATATTTCTTGCTTTAATTCGTCGTTCATACATAAAATATCATGTTCATTGTAAATTTCATTTATTTACATAACACATTATACATGTATTGTAATTGTAAAAATTGCTCCTATTTAGACGTATTGTAGCTTTAAGGTTATTTCTTTACCTAAATTGATGCATTTCAAACTTATCCATTTGTGTTTGCTTGCCTTTTTATCGCTGTATTTTTAGTATTGCTCGTTTTTTTCTCGTTTCTTTATAGATTTTTGTGGATGGATATTTTTTGCAACAGCCACATATTTTTTAGTCTGTATTATGTAGTGAATAGTAGAAATTAGGTTAGATTTTTCTTATTTTTATTTGTATATTACATTGAAATTGTACAAACACAGTATTATTATATTTTTATTTTAAATTATCGCTATAATGCTTTAAATTATATTTCAGTATTAAATTACAAAAAGGTAAGTTTATTTTGCCACTATACAGATATGCAAGTAGATTCAGATTTAGTGTTTTTTTGAGTTGATTTATATTGTTTTGTTTTTAATTGACATAGTGGCATAACAAATACAGATTGGCTAAACACGAGCTAAATTTTACACAACACTCGCAAACGCACTGTTGACACGGCAAATAGAGAACTGGTCTAGTAAATGTCATAATTAGAACATTTTATAACTTGCACGACTGATTTTCGTTTACAAAATGCTACAAATTTAGTAAAAATCGAATTTGAACTTTAAATATATTGACAAATAGGATCAAAATTATGAATAGTTAGGAATGACTGCACGTGTTTGAATTGATAACTTAGGTTTTTTGAGTGTGGCAAAATTATTTGTTAAATGTTTTAGATATGCTTACAATAATTTCAAAATACTTACAAAATCAAATTTCGTATACGCTTTATGGTCAAAATGTGGCAGAGACAAGTGCATTTATTATTATAAAAACTAATTGCACAAGCAAAAAAACAATGCACAATTAAACGTGTTAGTAGCGTTCGATAATAAGCAAAAATAATAAACAATTAATTTAAATAACGCTGGCTCATACTCGACGTCTTATTTAGTTTTTGACGGCTAAATATTGAAACGACATTAAAAATGCAACAACCTTAAATGATAACACCACATTTAACTCCTAACACCATTACATTTTAACATCTGTTAGATCTTTAGCGGCAAGTATGAAAAGAACGTCTTTAAAATTCGTTTCAGTGTTTGGCCGGGCCGTAATCTCGTGTGGTGCAGTAGTCGAAATGGTAGGGCAGCATTTAAAAATAAAAATTAATTTGCCCTCGAAACCACTGACTAAAGGCTAAAATAGATATTTTTGGAATTTTCTTTTTCTCAAACTATGAACTAACAATATTTAAGGTAGGGCATTCCACAATGTCCCTCTAGCTACGTCTATGTGTGTAAGCGACATGTGCGTGTGCCGGCAGATGAGCGAGGGCGCGCGCGAGTCGCTGGC